ACTCATTATCATGATTTGCTTGTTTCTCATTAACTACATATGTTTCATATATTCCACTATCACCATTCTAAATTTTGACATTCCTAATGTAAAACTATTTTTTATCTGCAATTTTACATGTATTTTTCAATTACTAAAAATTAAACAGAGTATTTATATATTTAAATGGATAATTTTGAATGAAATGAATTTTAGATTAACGAATATAAAAAACTATGTTTAATTTTTTTTGAAAAAAGAAAAACTAGGGTTTTTGTTTTTTTTTAAACTTCTACGATGGTAAACTGGAATCATAATCAGTATAGACTCAATCACTGACCTCAAGCACTAATCAGTACCAATCATCAATCACTAAACTATTATAATAGATTATAAATTAAACAATTTAGTCATGGTTAATCAAGTAAACAACTAAAAAAAATTTGTACTTAAATAATGGGTCTATTCAAGTTTTGTTAAAAAGCAACCTATATAAGTACTACGCCATTGATTCACCATCATGATTATTGTTGATAAAAAGACAAATAAAACTAAAAAAATTGTCTTCTTTCTTGCTCGTGAGTGCCCACTTTGAAGTGGATTCTTTGGACATTTTACCTGTGGACATAAATTATGTTTCGAAGACATAACTGTTCTTGTTATTATACAACTTCCCGTTCGCTATGATATCAATTACCGAATTAATTAAACTTAAAAGCTGATTAATAATCTAATATTTCCTCATAAACAATATTTTTGCTCAATCATTAATATAAGGGATTATGGCCCGGGCCCGTGCAAAGAGTGTATTTGCACATGACCCATTTATTTTTAAAAAATTTCAGCTGATTTATTTATAAAACAAGACTCTAAAAATTTTTTTTTTTCCCGAAAAAGAGGGTTGTTTTTGTAATTTTTGATATATAAGGACCAAAATTTTTTGTTTGCTCTAGGCTCAGTTTTACACTGGACCGGGTCTGATTTACGGAAAATAGCAAAAAATAATCAAACCCATAATATTGAAACGTTCTCTTGTACCGGATCATTTTCTTTAGTGTTTGAAATCAAAATCAGATGTCAGATAAGATTTAACCATAATCCAGATAGAAAGGGAAGTTGGATTAATAATAAACCTAAAAGATATAAGATACAATTGAATAAAAGTTATAACCAACTGGTAACGAGTGAATTGATACTAAATTTTACAGTTTTTTCCATTTTTAACTGTGAGATTTTATTTCTCATACATCCTCTGGAAATGATGGTTTTATTGTGAAAAAAAAGAAAGTAACTGAACCCGGTTAAAAACCGGATCAAACCGTAACCTCTGATTTGTTCCCGGCCAAAAATCATTTTCCAAACGGATTGATAGAAAGTGGGGACCTCTGATATTAAAGAAAGTGGACTCCTCTCGGTTTGGTAAGAAATCTACACTTTGCTTTTTATAGTTTGGCAACCCTAATGGCATTTACATAGTCAAAACTCGTTGTTGGTCTTTTGTCATATATTTCAAGCTCTGTTAATACAACAAGTTTTGCACAAAATAAAGTTCTTGGTATCCATACAATTCTAAGGTTAGTCATACTTTCATTTACTATTTCACAAAAATATCTTGTTTTGCTTCTTTCTTTTAGCACCATCTTTATCTTCTAAGATGGTAAAATTCTCTTGCGTGATTTTCGGAAAGGTATCACAAGTTAAACTTTCTTGTAATTCACATCTTGGGTGAG